AAAAAAAAACAAATCCAAGGAACTTCTAGACTAGCAAATGTATTCATCGTCACATGGCAACGCTTTTATTATACTTTTTTGTAAGAGTAAACGTCATCCTGATCTCGAACCTGATGTGTGAGGACACATTATAGTTCACTCTGTTTTATGTAGCGACTCATAATATGCACTAACTTGTTGAATTCATCGAGCATTGATTAAGAATATTTAAATTTTTTTTTCATCTTGTACGATTTCGATGTTTGAAATGTAGTAGCTACAGATTTTTTAAACATACAATGGATGGTATTGTTGTAAGCTATGTTTTTTTTATATTTTAATAGATGTTTTATATTGTTTGCTAGAGGAAGTTTTGGCACGTGATGACTTGTGACGCATATAAAACTACCTGAGTGTCTTCATTAGACATGACTTCTCTAATTATCCAGAGATTTGGAAGAAAGTGTATTCCATAAAAACACCAAAATCAGTTAGTGAGTCAGACTGTGAGTTAATCTTTGTTAGTTAATGAGTTAGGTAGATAGGAATACAGTTCAATGCTTTACAGTTTTAAGTTTGTTCCGTAGACACGAGAAGATGTTTAACTAGAAAGAAACTGTTAGTTTTTGTTTGTGAATTAGGCCTTTCCACGAACGTAGCCTGTATAACTTGTACTTTGAGGTTGAAGAAATAAATCGCTTTCGTTATCGTTAAGTGGACTAGACTGTACATTATTTTTATCGAATAATAAAAGATAACCCGCCAACGATAGAAACTGTTAAAACATTTTCCAGTGAAGAATTATTGTGGTGAAAATAGAATAGAATGTAAACCAAACTTCAAGATGGTGGTACGTGGTCGAAGTGAGGTTGGTAATTTGCTGGAGATGATTAAATAAAGGAATGAAAAACAAGCAGAAGGAGAGACAGCATTAAAAGAAGATAAAAAATAAGAAGATAGAAAATCAAAATAATACCAAGAATAAATTTACAGAAAATTAAAGGAAGTCAAAAACGAAAGGCAGAACATTAAAGAAAGACCAAGAAGAAAATTGTAGAAAATTAGAAGATCAATATGTAAAAGACGAGAATTTAAAGAGATAAGTTAAAAAAAGAAACATGATATTTAAAGGGGAATTAAGAAAAAATTTAATTGTAGACAAAATAAAAAACAAACATATTATTACATTCTTCTTTACTTTCATTTCGTAAATGTTTATAATTACTGATATAGTATTTTCTCGCCAGTTCTTCTGAATTATGATTAAAGTTAAGTCAAGTAAAATAAATAATATTAATAATAAGCAATTTGTTGTTAATAAAACCGATACATAAAATTCTGATGAATAATAACTTAAGTGAAATTAATAAAAATTAAAATTCACCAAATTAATGTAGTTCACACTGAAACAGTTATAGTTTAAACAACTTATGATAGAGATAGCGTCTAAACCACTACTGCATCTGTTGTATCCTATTTGGTCTGATAGGCCTTGTTATTGTCGAAAGGCTTCGTCGACACTAGATATAGCAGATATAGTGTGGTTGAATATTATTGCATTCTTCTCTACTCTCACTCATAAGTTATTATATTTAGTAATATTAAGCAATCTTCTAGCTTAGAGTCTTAACAACAGTGATTCGTCGTTGGCTACCTTATTAAACAGGTTTGGAATGACACACTAGGAGGAAGTTTCCAAAATGTGGGTGCTGAGTAAGGAAGACAGACGAAACCTTAGCTAGACTGTGAAAGATGTGGAAAGGTTTGACCAACTATCCTACTTAGATTATCCACGTGAAATGGTGGATTCATAGATGCTGTAGTGGATGAGGATTTGCAAATTAGACTAAATAAAAGTAGATTTATACCTTTAAAGGAAGCCCTTCAGTTAGTGATGTAACTTGAACCCATTAAAATAGCAAATTAGCAAATAAATGCACCCTCCAGAAGTTACGGGACCACCAGATCAGGTAATGTGGCAAAATCAACTCATTTTGGTGGTAGTCTAGGACAACTGAAAATATAATTTAGACAACTAGTGACATAGAATTGAAGAAGTAAACAGCAATAACATAGGTGATTCGTCTGTAAATTAGAGGAACATATTGTCAGAAACTGAAGACAAAAGCATATAGGGAATAAAAACTCCTCCCGAAGGATGTCAAAAAGTAGCTGTTATAAATGTGGGAAACATTGCAATTACAGTTGAGACTGTGAGGAATAAACAGATGATAATAGATCAAAGAAACAATACCTTAAGGATGACTCCTTGAGCCCAATCAAATCAAAGGAACAACAAAGAGATAACCAAACATTTGAAAACAGAAATTATCAGGACTTTGGGGACAGAGTTCGGCAGAGAATACTCATCTATCACAACTGAAATAAGAAGTTCATTGTTTAAAGAAACCAGCCCATGAGTTAATGGATTCATTGATGGGAAACTTTGAAACATGTTGATTCATGTTAATTCTACAGATACATTTGTTCAGCCCAGTCTGGTAATGAATGGTGAGACATTGCCTCCATAGATAAAGAAACCAGATGGATTGATGTATACTGATAGTAGAAGTTTCATCTGCAACTTAGATGACACCTACTTACAGAAATCAGGTACTGAGAAAAAGAATCTTATTCTTAGAGCCATTAACACAAAAAAAACGTAAACATCGAATCAATTCTGAATAGACCCTCGCAAGATGAGAAGCTGTACAGTTAGTACGCCAGTATCAAATAACTTCAAAAGTAGTCACCTTCAAGACAAGATGTAGAAAATTTGATGTCAAATCTTCCATAAAGATAGCTAACCCTTCACTTACAAGAGCTGTATGACCAGAGTTGAAGAAGTCTTACAGATGATTAATGCCATAGATTGCATGAATCGTGGTAAATCAACATACCTTCCCCAGTGGACTTAATGACTTAGGCCAGACAAATAAATATCCCATAAGGTTGACGTTGGAGATGCACACCCAATGTGTCAGTTAGTCAGATGGCTCTAAGTTGCTAAACATGCTGGGACTCTCAGACATAAAAGCCATGAAAAAACGAGTAGTACTGGGACCGGATACTAGTCTTTTGGCAGCACCTATTAGACTTGTGAAAAAGAAGGATAGGCATGCAAAGTTCTGTAGTGGACTTCCAGAGGGACTTTGAATGCTTTATCTGGATAAAAGCTATTTTCTATATTTGATCTGAAGAGTTCATATTAGCAAGTGCAAATCCAAGAAGCAAGACAGTTCTGCATGGAATGTGTTGTGTTGTCATTTGGATTATGTAATGCACCTGCTACATTTTAGTGACTTATGGAAAATGTTCTCTCTGAACAACCCTGAAATTTCATAATCAAATACATGGATGACAAAATCACGCATGGAAGACTTATGATGATGTTTGTGATGGGCTAAGGAAAGTTTTGGATAGACTGAGGAAAGATAACCTTACGCTGAAACCTAAAACGTGTGACTTGTTTCTTCAGCAGGTGAGTTTTCTGGGCACATAGTTAGTGGAGAGGGAGCGTCTACAAACCAAATTAAGGTTGAATCTATTCAAAATAGACCAACACCACTGAACTTGCATGAGCTAAGAGGATTTCTTTTACTGTGCTTTGTAAATCGTTGTTTTGTAAAATCATTCTCTGACATAGCTTGTTCTCTACACAAATTACTTTGTCAAACAAGTTTTTGTTGGACTTCTGATTGTGAACCGAAGATAGAGTTTGCCACTGCTCCTGTATTAGCATTCCTAACTCTTGAAAACACACTCATATTAGATACAGAAGCTTGTGATTTTGCACTAGGAGTAGTGTTACTACACGTACAAGAGAAAAAGCATGTAATTACCCATATAACAAAGCGATTAATTTCACAGAAATAAGTATACTGTACAACTTGGAAAAAGGTATTAGGCGTAATTCGAGCCCTGTGTCATTATCATCATTACCTATAAAAATAAAATTTTACACTCCAGGCAGAATGTGAAGCATTAAAGTATTTGGTAATTATGTTAATCAAGAAAGACATGATAAATGGTTCCAGAAACTTCAGGAGTGCAACATGACTTTACCCTAAAAAGGCTTAAATCAACTGGTGATAAGATGAAAAGTTGCTATGATTTATATGCTATTAAGAATGATTTCATCATGGTGACATGGTATGACAGCACAATCCCCACCTCACGAGAGAATGACCTCCAAAGCTTAGTATGTGTTGGGAAGGGTCATATGCTGTAGGAAAAATAATCAATGGTGTGGTTTACAGAATCCAAAATAACAGGTGGTTCAAGCCATAGGTAATCTACCTTGATATCTTTGGAATTGCTTTGACAATAAAATGGCCAAATGGTTAGCTTCAGTGGTAATTTAACCTGCTGAAGAACCCAAGGTTCTTTTCGAGACAATTTCAGAAAGCATTTGTCAGGAAGAGCCCACTGGTCCTGTTGATACAACACCCAGAGTATCACCAAGGGTAGAACCACCAGT